AGGAAAGCCGCCAGGGGTCCAAAATCAGTTAGGCCCAGGCAAATTTATGCTGTGTTTCTTGCAGTTAAAAAATTTGAATCGCTAGATAGGGATTCACTTAATATTTTTAATGTCTTTTAATTTTTTCATAGATTTTTATAATTAGTGATCCAACTAATACAGTGAATATAACACTGAAATGTATAAGTACACTGGTATCTTCAACACTACACTAATTTCGCCCCTAGAGATAAAATAGTTAAACGCGGTCCATGGGTTCACCGTAAATTCCCGAATAAAGTACGCACCCCTTCTGCGCACGGCCGGTGCCACTGTGGACATGTACATGTAGTATATGTATGTCTTAAAAACAGTTAGTTCTAGAAACAAATCGTTTTAGGCCGTGTACTATATACGTGATTGCATGATAACTGGATACATGTAGCGGGAAAGGTTTCGCGATCGTGTCGGGGCTTGTTTTCATCGCTGGCCGCAGCCGATTTGCAAGACGTCACCCCCGCATCGAAGGGTAAGGCGAGTGCGGCGAAACGGACAGCTTTGGATCACGGAGAGTGTTGGTGACCAAGCCAGCAATGGTCAATAATTCAACCATACTGTAAATCGTGCAAAACAGTTGCTAAATGAGCAAAAATATACCATAAGTTGCAAGGAAAACGTTTTAGAAACGATACCAATGTCGTAGAATGCCAAAATCAAAGGAAAAAAGACAAAAATGTAAAGAAATGAATTCGAAGAGTAGATTATTCGCCATAACATATTCTGTGCCATTTGTTCAACCTTCATGACCATGACCAGATTTCATAGTAAAAGCAACTTTTTTTTTGTCAAAACTTTTTTTTTTATTTGCACGCGCGCATCAGTTTGGGGTTCCCAGAGGATGTCATCCATATATTCAAATCAACTGGCCTTAATAGGGCCCGCCCGATCGACCCATGAAGAGCAACGATCACCGAGGCGGAGAACTGGGCAGAGCGTTGATGCTACTGTGGGTGTAGAAGTGCTACCGTATTTAGAATTTGAAACTGCAAAAGGCTACTGGGACTTGCGATTTATAACAGGGGTGAGTGAAAAGTTTGACTGCGTTTCAAATAATCTCTCGTAATGTGATAGTTTGATGTTTTTGTCACAAAATCAAAGGAATAATGTACACTTCAAATATGTATTAATTTGTACTCCGTAAAACTGAGTCTGTTCAGAGGAAAGAAATACTTCCTTCTCGGGGCCAAGGTTCTGGAAAGCTGTCCTCAGCGCTGCCACGACCCTCTCTTCGTTCTTCAGCTGTATGTGTACTTTGCAGGGGAAAAGGATCGGCGTGCACAAGACAACGGGCGCAGCATGATTCAAAGTTTATTTTATATTTACGCCCTTGTTCACGCCGATCAAAAGAAACTGTGACAATTCGGTACGTGCAGGCCCGTGCACGTGGCGACACAGGCTGGCTTCCCGCTCTAGCTGTGGGTTCCCACGATGTGTTGCCAAGGGCAGCGGCACGTACACAGACCTACCGGCGGATCCCACCCACCGGGCCGGCCGGTAAGGATTTTCAAAGACTACATTTATAACTCCGCCCCTATCATTGTTGCGTGCCGAACAGTCGAGTACATCTAACTGGCATTTTTACGTCGTACTGACACATACAGCCCGCTACAAAGTAATTTCCTGTTGCATTTAACGATTTAAAATGATACGAAATGAAATATTGATAACAATTTATGTTAAGTGAACCTTTGTAACGGCATGGATCATCTTTGTTGAAGATTTCTGAGTTCAACTCAAGCCGGAAGTGCATTAGAACCTACCATCAGTCCAGGTGCAACAATTATGTTATCACGTTACGTTACGACGATCAAGAACGTTCACGGCTTGCGGACCATTCAAATATTATAATTTTATAATGGAAAAAATCTTACGTGGGTTTATATTTTCGGCCGGAGTTCCACGAGATCGGCGCCGGCTGGCTCGGGAACGATCCCATCGGCATGACGGAGCGACGGGCGTCGTCAAAGCGATACAAAAATGTTACAAGTACAACGCAAGGACAGACAGATTTCTACACCAGCGCTCTTTGTGCCTTCCCCCAACCCACAGACTCTATGGGAAACTCAAATTACTCTCATGGTAGACAAGGTGCTCCAAGCGAGTGTGCACTTTCCACAAACTAGAATTCAAGTTACCTCGAACAGTACTCGATGTCATTTACAAATCCTTTATTTACCCACTTCTCGAATACGCTGATATCATATGGCAAGTATGTAACGTAACCTCATTCGATTCCCAACGCTTAGAACGGTGGAGTACATGAATGCTCCCTTACAGGTTCAGGGGCTGTAAGGGGGGTCCTCGTATTCCTCTCTCCTTGCAGAACTAGTTTGGGAAACACTTTGGGATCGTCGTCATTCTTTGTCTATGTTCTACAAAATTGTTCACGGTAATATCCGCCAGCATCTTGAAGACCTAATTACTCCTGAAGTTGCCGTTTCTATCTGTTACGACCTTCGTAATAAGCACAACCTTCGGCTGCCATGTTGATTGATTATATGGATGACGTCCTCTGGGAACAACATTATGATGCGAGCGTGCGACTAAAAAAAGTTTGGAAAAACCTTTCCTTCATCATGAAATCTACGTGCATTGTCA